GTGGGAATACAGTAAAGAAGCTTAATTAGGGAATCAATAAGCGACCTTAGGCAAAGAACCCTCGATGATCTATTTATTTTTGAAGATGACAAAAGTGGGAGAAAGCTGGAAAACTAATAAGGAAAAAAAAACCTCTTTAAAATGAGGACAACAATACTGTGTTTTAATATAACTTACATTCGTCATCAAATTGAATATCTAATTGTATTGTAAAACAAATAGATTTGAAAAAAAATCTGAAAATCTACGTATTGTAAGATAAAAATCCAGAAGCAATATCGCCGGAAGATTTTGATTTTTTTTTTCCTTTGATAATTGTAAATGTTTTGCGAAAATTATAAAAAAATAAACTAACAACTCTCACTAGTTAAATTAATACCGTACTTTTGAAAGACGAATGATTTTGTTTTGCAAACTAAATTTGGAGGAAAAAGCGAACTTTAATTAAATATTAAAATTTATGTATATTTAGCGAAACAAAAATTGCGAAAAGTGTCCATTTTTTGTAATTTTAATTTTATATCATTTATTTATTTATTATTATTTTTTGCTACTTGGGCATAAATTGTTCTATGCCACTTTCTGCAACGTACGTCGCAATTTTGATCACGTCTTGTTTTTAGGGATAAAAGCATATTTGAAGAAGGTGACAAAAGGCTTTTAAACTACATTCATTGAAAAAATTAGCGAATTTTCTTATAAGTTCTATTTAACTAAACTTTAAAGTTTAGAGCAAAGTTTAAAGATCACAATAACGAAAGACACTAAAGGATATTTGAGTGCGCGTGTGTTTGGAGTGAAAAAAGGTTTCAAGTGCATTTGGCAAGTAACAATGGACAAGTAAAGTTTGGAAGCCTTTTTTGCAGGCGTGATTTCCATGATTACACCATGATGACGAATCTATGATGCGAACAGTTTACATTACCGTTAAAAAAAATTCACTGAATTCACTCTTGAAAAATACTGGACAAAAAAAAAAAAAAAAATGCCGTTAATAACTCTTCAAATACTAAAATTTAGGTAAGCTGAGTTTATATATACAAACAAAATAATTGCCTTTCGGACACTTCACATTTGATTAAACTTTCTTAACATTTTAATTTTACACAAAACAGTCTTTAAAAACATCACTTACCAAACTAATTATCAAAGAAATCAATACTAAATTACTAAAGTAAATTTAAATTAAATTAACAGTCAAATTACAAAAAAATTACGAAAATACTAAATTTCTAAATTGATAATAATTTACTAAAAAATAACTAGTTTAAGACTAGGTTAATGCATAAATTAAATTGATAATCAGCATTAAAAGGCTGGTTTTCCGTTTTGAAATTACCCATACTAATTTAAATAAAGTAATTATATAACAGCAGCCTTGTAATTTAGAACCCTGTCCAGAAGACAAGGGAACTCCTGGATCAAGTATAGGGAGAATTTTTTTTAATGGGACTATCCCGCATATACGTTACATGGAGAGGAAGATCACGAAAGCCTCCCACATTTAGACTAACGGCAAGGGGACTCTACCCCATGATCCATCTACCACTGAGGATATTTTACGACAACACTGTGGTCGGTGCGAGCTGGGTGCGGAATTCGTATCGACCAGCCCTCTCTGGGATTCGAACCCGGTTCACCGCATTGGAGGTGAAAGCCTTATCTCCTGAGCCATCACGGCTCTCAATAAAGTAATTAACAAGTATTACTGAAAATAAGGATTATTAAATTTTAAAGTGCAGTTATTTAAAACTTTTGTACAAATAAAACAGAAAATCAAGACCGCCAACAAACAAACCTTAACACAATCGATCTAGATTTCAATAAAACGTCATTAAATTTTCAAAGCCTTGAAAAAACAAAATACAGTTTGAGAATCGATTTTTAAAAGAAGGAAAGAAATATTGATTTTTTTTTTCTTTAATATTTTTTTTTAATCTTACTTGTATACGAATAAAATTTATTATCAACCAATATAATTTCCGATTAACTTTCATCCCTAAGTTTGCTTTTTCCAGAAGAAAAAAATTAAACTGCGCCAAACAAATAAACAAATTTACAAGATATATTTATATTAGCTAAGCTTATTACAAAGTATGAGAAAAAAAAGAATTTTAACTTTTAAAAACAATATTTAACGAAGGAACAAATTCTGCTTTTAAGAGTTCCAACCTTTTACATTCAATTTCGGTTCGCCAAGAAATGGGAGAGGACTGTCATAAATTTGCCATGGGGCAAATGTATATATATAGTAGAAGGGTATCGATTACTTAATTAAGAGGTTCCTTTCCAGATTACGGGTCCGTAGGGAATAACTTAACATCAGACCCTTTTCGCCCATTCGCTTATTTCTTAAAAGGGTTGCAATAAGGAAAATACATCGCCAAATTGACTGCTTTGGCAATATTTTAAGGGCATTAATAATACTTTTAGTATTTAAGTTTTGAAAATGAGGTAGTGCCAAACAAATATGAATTTTCTAATTTATGATTAGTGACAAAATATTTTCTGCGAAGCACCAATAAAATACTATTTTTAAAAAAGAGCTATTTTTTTACTTTCACTTTTTTTTAAGTGCTCTTTTTAAATTCTTTCGATTTTAATACCACTACTGTGATAAAATACTATACAATAAACCATTAAAAATGCATAACATTATTCTATTAAAAACAGAATTTATTCAAATAAATAGGATTAAAAGAATCCATAGTAATATTTACTTATCTAAAAAAACAAAACAGATAGAAGCAAATTTTAACAAATTTGAAGAAAAACAATGAATTGCCAACTAATGTAATTTAATTCTATATATAAAGTCATTGAATTATGTGTTAAAATTATAATTTTAATTTATTTACGTAATTTTTTGCATCTAAATTGATAATTTTTAACACTTGTGCAAAATCCAATTTAGACGAATCCGTCGCTGAAATCTAATATTTAATAAAATATATTTTCAATAAATGTTATTTTTTCTAAAAATCATCAAAACTAAAATTTTATAATTAAAATTTGAAGTTTTATTAATTATAATCTTTGAATTATCCAATATAATATATAATAACCTTGCGCAAATCCTGTTTCGGGCCAATCCAATATAACAGACAAATCAAATGGAGTTCTGTACTTAAGTAAGAACGCGCCTTAAAAAAATATATCCCACTATCCTCTATTTACGCTTTAACACATAGCACTGAGATTTGTAATCTGGTAATATAGTTACGAAAATATTTTTAAATCATTTTTGAAGACATCTGTAAGTAAATGGACGTTTAATCACGTTGCTTTATGTCACTTTTTGTGTCTTATATTCTTTTTTCCGTGAATCATTGTTTAATTTTGTATTTTCGCTTCGATTTCTTAAATGCTCCTCACACTATTGAATTGATATATTTTGCTTTGGCTATATTAATACAATATTAGAAAGCACTTTAATTTGCAGATATAATCGCGTGAGCTGATGATAAGATATCTTTTCGTTATTTTGCTCTCTAACTTGTCATTTTTTTAAAAAAAATATTTAATGTTGGTAAATATAATGTAATATAAATAAAATGCTGCTAAATATACATGATGTTGCTAAACATAAATAAAATAAAGAACAAGCAACAAGAACGATCTTATTATTATTCAGTAGCTTTACATTAACCGCTCCCCTGATTATCCCGAGTTAACTCGGGTATGCGTATATATCCTCCCGAGAAAACTCAGCAGAATTTGTCAGTACGTTTTGTTTTATCACGTTTTTACTCGGCCGGAAGCAATAAAAGAATGATATTCTGTGATTGGAAGTTTGCCAAGTTTTTCTGTTGGATAGTGTATCCGTACACTGCACACGTGTTTTGTGCATATACAATGGCATATACATTATATATAGTATATACAATGGCCGTTAAATTTACATAGGAAAAAAAAATGCGTATCACTTCTCTAGCCATTGGAGAGTATCACTTTGTATTGTCCCTTGTCAGGGGTCTGATTAGAAGAAATTTGGGTCCGTTAACGGACCCTTCACAAAATATCTTTTCATAAAAATGGACCCTTCACAAAATATCTTTTCATAAAAACGGACCCTTCACAAAATATTTTAACTTAAAAACGGACCCTTCACAAAATGATTTTTCTTTTAATCGGACCCTTCACAAATTTGTTTATCTTCATTATTATTTTGTTAATCGAATAAACCCTTTCCAGGGCAGAAAACAAGAAAGATGGATGTAAACGAATTAAGTTTTGTCTTCGGCAGACGATTCTTCCATTATTCGTCCGAAATTAATATTCTGCGTTCAGCAGTATAGGCTAAATACCAAATATTTGTATGTTGCATCTCTAATTTAGAAGCAGCAATTGTTGTTTATTTTTTAAAATTTAATTTTTTTAATTATAATTTTACAGTGTTGAGCATAATCTTGTATGTCTTTACAATTTAAAAACTCCTTGAAAAAAATTTTTGTTTTGCAATAACGGACCCTATTTGCAGAAATTCACAAAAGCGGACCCTGGTTAAAAGAATGCGACTTAACGTTTATTTTATATTCACAAATTGCGAGCAATTTTTTCACAATTTTACAAAAACGGACCTTTCACAAAATGTCTGGACAGACCCCTGCTTGTTTTAAAATCTATCAAACAAAGACTAATATTTAACTTTTTTTATTTGTAGCAGATAACTCCTGATAGTAAACTGAAGGTAAAGTAAAATGTTTTTAACACATAAAAAAAAAAAAAAAAAAAAATTTCAACTAAAGCTTGTGTATTACGTTTTGTTTTTCTTTGTACTTATTAACAAAATAAAAAAAAATATGATGATTTTCTGCTTTAAAAGAAGAAGAAGAAAAAATTAGTAAGTAAAGCGGATAAGATGTCCAATTTTAATAAGGTCGAAAACGTTAAAATTCAGAGTATTCATACTTTTTTTTAAATCTTTCTTGACTACAAAAATCACGTTTTATAGGAATAACAATTGATTTTGTAGAATAAATAAATAAAAAAAGCATTACCTGTAGTAGAAGCCTCTCATCTGCCCAGACAGTTGCCCTGGACCAATCAACGACGTCACTGAAGGGAAGTTCCCAGCCATTGCTGAGGAGAACGGGTACACAGCCAGCTTGAAGGGCTTCCAGGAAACGGAAAGATCCCAGTCTCCGACCCCTGGGCACAAGACAGAAGGTCGCGTTCTGCAGCAGCACTTGATAATCAAACCTTAAAATAGAAATCACAAAATAAGCTCTTTCTGCAAAACAATTGGAATTAAATAAACGCTTTGAGAAAGGTTAGATTTAAAAGGATTCAATTATATTCACTAAACACTTAATTGCAATTTATAATTTTTTTTTTTCGAAATGTATTAGTAAGAAAATTTGTATATGACCAACAAACAAATTCGCATAAGATCATGACGAAATTCTCAGAAACTGAGACTTAACATAAATTTAATCTAAAATATTTCAAATCATAAAACATTACAATTTTAGTATCATTCGTGTTAGTAAGTATGTGCAGTACATATCATTGCATTCAGCACGTGTGTGAGCGCTTGCCTTTCAACGAGGTGAACCGGGTTCGAATCCCAGCGATGACTGGTTGATACGAATCCCGCACCCAACTCTCACCGACCACAACGCTAAAGTAAAAATATCCTCAGTGGTGGACGAATCATAGGTTAGAGTCCCCTTGCCGACAGGCTAACCGTGGGAGGTTTCCGTGATTTTCCTTATTATGTAAAGCAAATGCAGGTTAGTTTCATTAAAAAAAGTCCTCCACGAAGGCAAATTTCTCCCAATACTTAACCCAAAAGTTCCCTTGTCTTTCGGATTGGGCTCAAAATTACAAGGCTACGGAGTTGAACATTAGTATTAGTGCCCCCGGATGCCCCCTTACGGGGGCGGGACGGGCTTAAGCTTGTTATTAGTAGTGGAACATTAGTAACTCAAAATTGGGTAGGCTGTTTAACGACGGTTATGAAATAAATATGTTCGTAATCAACACATTTGTAAATATGTTAAAATATGATAAAATACAATTTTTTTTTAACATAGCTGCTAATAAGTATAGGAAAAAATCCTGTAGATTTCACGAAATATAAATTTCACGAATATTGCTGCAATAATGCATAATGCACTAAATATTTTTCACATAGGGACTTTTATGGTCATCAAAATAGACAAACTGCAATATTTTCCAGTTATGATTGATATAAATGAAGTTGAAATGCTATGTATTATGTTTACTCATAATTTTGAATAGTGACAGGCATTTAATTCATCAAAGAGAGTTAAAAGACTTTTTAATTATATTTAAAAAGGGAGTTCTGAATAAAAATAAAAGCATTTTAAAACAAACAAAAAAAAAGTTTTAAACTAATTTCTATAAATGACGCTCGCTTCATTATGTATTAGTGATATGCATTTAAATATTCAGGAAAGCAATAATTTGCGCAAAAATGTTATTTATATAAGAAATTTTTTTTAAGGAAGCTTACTCAATTTCAGAGAATTTTCTAAAAATGTACGAAAACCAGGAGAATTTTTACCAAACTAGTAGACCAGGAGAAACTGGCAAAATTCAGTAGAGTTGGCATCGATGTTTTAAATAAGTGTAAATTAAAGTTTATTTTATTTCAAAACTAGCATTGAACAGTCGCGAATTTTAGAGTTTACGACAATCAACGTTCAACTCAGTAGTCTTAATTTCAAACCCAAAGCAAAAGACAAGAAAGAACTTGGACCAAGCAAAGGGACAAACTAGCCTGCATGGACGACTTCTTGAAGGTACTAACTTGCGCTTGCGTTATTTGAAGAAGAAAACCATTCACGGTTAGCCCGACGACAGGGGAGTTCTGCCCTGTCATTTATTCACGGCTGATATTTTGCGTCAGCATTGTGATGATTATAAGCGGGGTACAGAGTTCGTATCAACCAGCCGTAGGTCGGATTCGAACCTATAGCAACGAAACCTATAGCATAGACTACAGCAAAGATCGGGCAAACGCTTCTGTTCTAGTAACGCTTTTGGTCTAGTTTATGAATAGGTAAATCTTTTGTCATGGCGCTTTTGCACTAAATTATGTGAGAGGACCACGTCCGTTGGCAAAGCTGCAACAGTTAAGGAATAAAAATCATGCATTGCCAGTATTTTTTGTGTGAAAGTTTTCTATTAACGAAAACTATAAATTTACAAATACTCATTTCTCCTACAGAGCTCACACTTTTGGAATTTAAATTTATCGAAAAAAAAAAGACCGGTTTCCTAAGATAAATTGTCGATGATTCGCGGCCAAATGCACTGGGATCATTCTTCTACTCCGAAAACTCTTGACTGCCACGTAGTACCTTCATACTCTGAGATTTCCGAAATGTAATGACTCGGCAAAATATATTAAAATTGATAAGTTAATTTAAACTAAAATTAGAACTTTCTCCGAAATATCAAAGTTTTTTTCCTACAAAAATATCACTTATAGAGCCATTTTTCACTAACTTTTTTTCATGTTTCTTTAAAAGGTACATCCCAAATAAGCTCAAATTCATCATCTATGCCGGACGCGTATTGGAATAGACATTTTTTTTTCACAACATACTTGCACGAAATTTTCTCCAGGGAATATTTATATCAACAAGCTTAACTGAAAGAAACGCATAGATGTCACGCTAAATAACCACTTCTAATAAGATAAAAGTCGCCAAATGTTTACTTCTTCAAATAAAAATAGGTATTTTGTAGTCTATTCAGGAAGAATGTCCAATTGTCTTCAGCAGTTATCCCCAAAAATAAGATGGATAATTTGATCCCGGGGACTTTTAGGCTTCCTTCATATTTCTCTTGTTGAAATGGGTAGATGATGAAGTAGAATCACGTAAATCGCCAAATCATTCGCCATTTGGATATATTTTTGGCGACCTCTTGTTCCCACAAAAGAAGAGAAACAATTTTCAGAAGAGAATCACGTAAAACAAAGATTTATTTCTCTCTGCAGATCGTCCGGCTAAAAGGTTATTTTGTTGTGATGATATCATTTGTTGGAGGAAATGTCAAGTACGTTTCGGCTTGCACAAAGAACTCATACAATTTAGCAGTAGCATGTACAATGTATATCAATCTCAATAAAATAAAAACAATGCTACAATAAATATTATTACGTGACGCGAGCCCTTGGATACTAAATATGTTATACGATTTAATAGGCGTAATTCATAAGATAATCATGAGCTACATTTCTAATTTAGTAATCTTGATTTACACAATTTTATTAGAATTTTAATTGGTGACTATATTAAATCGGCTACATTTCTGACATTTGATTATTTTACGTGCTGCCCCTATAAAAAAAACAAAAAACAATGCTATAATAAATATTATTACGTGACGCGAGCCCTTGGATACTAAATATGTTATACGATTTAATAGGCGTAATTCATAAAATAATCATGAGCTACATTTCTAATTTAGTAATCATGATTTCGACAGTTTTATTATAATTTTAATTGGTGATTAAAGTAATTCGGCTCCATTTCTAAGTTTTGATTACTCTACGAGCTGTCCCTATTAAATCCGCAACGTTTCTAATTTAATAATTCTGATTTGAAACAGTGTTTTCACTACAGTGCGAGAACGCGAGAATCTCGCATATTTTTTTATTTTCTCGCATTAAAAAATGATTACCGCGAGAAATTCGCGCATTCTATAAACCAATTTCAAAATTCGCGAATTTCTCGCATTTTGAAAAAAATTTCTCATTTGCGCCATTTAGAATAAAATCCGTTTCACTTTTCTTCCTGGATCTTTTATTATTTTCAACATCTGCCCCATTATCTAGCTTCCCTATTTACCAGTATTGTTCAGAACCTTTAAGAACAACAGAACACCATCCTTCAGAACCATGGAACCTCTTTCAGAACGCATTTCTCTGCAACCACGTGTTTACCGTAGGTAAGGTTTCTTCATGTAAGACGTTAAAAGTTTTTGCTCGTTAATGTAAGATGGACAAATACCTTGTAAAGCCAATATCTTCTACTCCGAAACGGACAAATGAAAATGAAACAAATGTGGGTAGAAGCGATCAAAACGAAACAAATACGCATTTGAGCAACCTAATGAGAATAGCTGATGAAAAAGTAGATGTAGAACATTTTCCATAGGATGATGCAGCAAAAATATTCAATGCTTTAAAAATTAGAAGATGTTAAAAATGCATCATAATTAAAGAAATTTTATTTTTTTTCAAGTCTCTTTACGTGTTTTTTTTTTTAATTTTTGAAATCTCACTTAACTTTTTGAAATCTCACCCTGTTTTTGAGAAAGGGTGAGAAATTCTCACCCATTTTTTTTCTGAGATGAAAACACTGGAATAGCATCATCATTATTTTACATAACATCCCTATTAAATCACCAATGCTCGTAATTAAATAAAAGTGACATTACTTAACATGACGTCACTTTTAAATTGATCATATCCCTAACTTAGTAATCATGATTTAGATAGTTTTATTACATTAGCTATTCTAACTTATCATTATTTTACGTTATGTCCCCATTAATTCCGCAACGTTTTTAATTACACATTTTGTGATTTAGATAATTTCATTATTATTTTACAAAGTATCGCCATTAAATCGCCTACAATTCGAATTTAGCAAAAATGTCGTTATTAAATTGGCTATCTTTCTATTTTAGCTTCATGGTTCAGATAATTTCATCAAAATGCCTTTAATCGATTACATTTCCAATTTAGTAATTATGATTTAGATAATTTAGTAATCATGATATCTCTAATATATCGGCTAAATTTCTAATTTAGCAAACATAATTTAACATTGACGTCTCTTTTAAATTAGCTGAATTCCTAATGCACTTTTCTATCACAATATGGCATAACTGTGACAGAATATCAGTGTAGCTGGGCATCATATCATTTTTTAAGGTTTTGGCAATCGTGGTTGTGAATATTCAACTTCAATAAAAATAAATGAATTAATAAAAAATAATTATAATTAAAAAAACATAATCAGATTTAAAAACTTTCTAGCTCTTATAATTTATTTCTATCGTAAGAGGATATTACAAGACCATTGGATCAAAGAAAATGGTCAAATGATATCTTAGCACCAAATAGCGACACACTTACCAGAAGTATTGTTATACATAAAAATAGCAACGCGCAACTTTATAAACAATGAAATTTCGAATTAAATATTCAAATAACT